ACGTCTGCCGTAACTGGGGATCATAACGGCAACACTCGGGTGACTAGGTCCTCTTAGTAAGAAAGCTTACAATACAAGACTGGGAATGTCCCCCTATTAACAATAGGGAATGTGTCTTTGTTGTTTACAAGGCCGCTCGAAGAGCGAGACTGTGAAAATGCATGGTCGTGCTCAGATAGATTTTAGAAATCATCTGCTTATTGACAGTCAAACTTGGAGATCAAGAACACTTCTGAACGTAATAAGGATGACGATGAATCTTACCTTATAGTACATGAAGAGACATTAAGCGACATAGGAAATGGGCTATACACTATATGCACACTTGTCCGGAAGGACAAGTGGGAGATTGAAAGGAATGGTGTCCTTCCAACAAGTGTATTATTCCGATAGAGGGTTCAGAATTATCAGAAAGCTAATTCTTCAGTAAGGTCAAGTGATCGGAATGTCTAGGTGGAGGCCGCTTCCGATCAGTAATATTAATGTACAATTAATATTACAGCTTAATCTTGACTGAACCCTTCGGGTCACACCCAATCGAGTAACCGATCCGAGGTGAAGAATTAATCCGAAGGATTAGATGAGTCGTTAGAGTATTACGAAAAAAGACGTCGGATATCGAGCTTAGAGCGTCGAGATCGAGCGTCGCAAGTCTCGTCGAATTTAGAATTCGACGAGACGCAAAATCAATTGAGTTACAAGAACGAGCCTAGCCGTAGCCTCGCAATGGCCTAGCCATGTGAGTTCTAGGCTAGGCAAAACCTATCGCAAGCTAGCTAGCCATGGCAGCCCCGCACCATCGTATATCAGCGTGCTATGCTGTGCATGGTGCTGGGCGCTAGCAACCTAGCTAGCACGCTGGGCGCTAGCAACCTAGCTAGGATGCTGGGCGCTAGTAGCCTAGCAAGCACGCTGGGCGCTAGCAGCCTTGCTAGCATGCTAGGCCCTGGCAGCAGCATCGCAAGCAACACACGCAGCAGCCAACAGCGTGCTAGGCATGCTGGGCTGTGTGTGTGTGTGCGTGTGCCTTGCATAGCAGCGCCCAGTGCCACGCACCAAGCAGCAGCGTAGTAGTGCGTGCTGACTGGTTGGCTAGGCATGCATGCGTGTGTGCTGGTTGGCTGGCCAGGCTGCCCAGCCTTGGTGCTGGGCGCCAGCTGGCAGCCTTGGCAGCCAAGGCAGGCTGCCAGCCAGCCATGTGGATGGGAGATCCGGTTTGTGTGTGTGGGGACCAAGGGAGGTGGGCATTGCCTTGGGCACCAAGGTTATGGCCCCCCCCCTTCTTGGAATGGTCCTCACCTAATCACACTCTCTCCATTTGCCACTTGTAACTCATTGATTGCATTGTTCATTAATTTGTTTTTGATTAAAATAAATTAGTGGGAAACTGCAATTGTCCCACATGGATGGGAGAAGGGAGATTCAAGTCTCCTTTCCCTATAAATACCCAAGTTTTGGTTTGGGAAAAATCACTTGAGTATAACTCAATGAGGCATCTCCCTTAAGGTGAGAAAACCTCTAAGTTCGTAATACTCTAGTCTTTCTTGGTCTAGCCCCGACTAACCTTCGGGGTAGGGGCCGTTCGGGTCGGGTCTCGAGGGTGGACTCCGTTGGAGGCCGTCGCACTTGCGAGGCTAGAGCTTTCGAAGTAAGAGCTCGATTTGCGAGTGAAGCACGCTTCGAGGGTATGGTTTCTTTCTCTCTCCTTTTAATTATTGCTTAATTATGTTTATGCTTGTTTTAATTGCTTTAGTTATCGGGGCGGGTCTTGGGGGGTTTCCTTTCCGCGTAGTGTGGGTCACTACGAAACCCTACACTAAGTTGCCAAAAACTCATCACCTAAACACCTATAAATACCCCTTCCAAACACCCCAAGACACACATTGAAACCCCGAGAAAACACTCTCTATCTCTCGGTTTTCTCTGCTTCTCCCCTCTCAAAACCGCCGGCGACCACCATTGGTGACCACCATCACCGGCGGCAGCCAGCCAACCACCACCGCCGGCAGCCACCCCTCCTCACTGCCGGCCATTTGCTCTTCCTTTGTCTTGGTTTCCATCTTCATCCTTCAATTTCTCCTTCTCCTAAACTTGTTTTACACTATTCAAAATTTATAATTGAATTTCATACATATTATTTCTTGAATAAATTATTTTATAAAAACAAAATATTTATTCTATTAAAGTGTAATAATAAATTCATGCACATATAGGATAGATTGGTTAAGTTGTTATGCTTATTTGATAGCCTTATATTAATTAAGGTTATAATAATGTGTAGGGTGTTCGTGATTAAGAGAAGTAGTTGTGTGAATCGCTCGCGTTACGATTAAGGTACGTTATGTGGTTTGATACCTTCGAAAGTTGTTTATGAAATTATGTTCTAATAAATTTTTATGAAATTGTGATTATTATGTTTCTTACGAAATTATGATTATTTATGAAATTATGTTCTTACGAAATTATGTTTTATTATGTTCCGTATGAAATTATGAAATTATGTCTTATGAAGGTTTAAATTGATAATTTTGGTTAATCAAAAGACACTTTGATTTTGCGATTAAAATTATTAAAAAGGATTGGATTAAAAGTGATTTACAAGTTTCTTGATATTCAAGTATAATGTTTAAAAAGTGCTTTTAAGTAAATCAATCGATATGGTTATGAATCCCACTTAGGGAATGGATTAGAGAAGGCTATGGACTTTGCATGACCTAGTATTTCCTCAAGATTGGCCTTTTTTCATAAAGTAAACCACTTGGGGGGTGTGCACACTTAGTGAGGAATTGGTTTTGAAACGTAATCGATTGAGTTTTAAATTTATCTTGGAAGAATTGAATTAACTCTTACATGAGTATGATGATGGGAAGATTGGTTTGAAATTATTGGAATTAAACTTAAATTACTTAGCTTATGTCTTACTTATCTTACACATAATCTACTAAGCATAATTTGCTAATGCGTGCTTTTGTTTTGGCTTTGCCCTGTTTACCATTTATGGTAAGCAGGTGAACTTTTCAGGTGGAAGTTGATTGATGCATATGGGAGTCCACGGGAGTTTCACCTAGTTTAGGAAAAAGTTTGATTTTTATTTGTGTCAAAATACTGAACAAGTTTTATTTAAAGTTTTATTAATAAAGAATAAAGAATTTCCGCTGCAAAAGTATTTTGAAGTATAAGCCTTGTTATCACGCGGCAGTAATACGCCCAAGTCTATCTCTACGGTATTTATTCGTATTTTTCTATATATTCCATAGAGGGAGATTTGGGGGTGTTACAAAGTGGAATCAGTTTGTCGGGTCTTAAAACAAGATTAAAAGTTGAAATAAATAAATTGGATGGGTAGACTTAAGTTGGGCATATAGGATAGAGTTTCGCATTAAAAAAAAAAAAACCTATTTTCTTCTTTGGAAAGATGATTGAGAAAAGGATGCTCGGGTTCTCATAATGAGGCCTATAATGGGTACGCCTCTCTGTCTAGACAAGGCTCTCCCCGACGCTATGGGTAACTTACCTGGGAGACGCGGGCTCGACCATCCTATGTCATGAATCGAGTACATACATTACTAATTTCGAAACAAAATGAATTGAAATTTTCTAAGTTTCAAAACTATGTGTGCATGTAAGTTAGTATAATATGAAATTAAAAGGAGTCCATGGATAGGACATCTTGAGCATATATGTGGTTCATGCATGTTAAACTTATATGCTTGTGAACAATGATTTGTTTATATGAATACTACTGATTGAATTATTGTTGTTTAAACAGATATTGGATGAATTTAGAAAGCAGTACTTTAACATTCACTACTTAAAAAGTGATGCAATCAGTGTTAGCGATTTTGTGACTGGAATAACAGTGCTAGCTCTACACTATTATGAGAAGTACAACCTTGAAGTTTTCACCCAACCCCCTTAGCTAGTCCTTTTGGCATTAGCCCACTTACCCAGGATTAAGAAGTACTACCCTCTTTTTGAAAAGTATGGGGATGTGGTTAAGAATTATGGGCTTTGGAACGAGAGACATCACTATGAGGGGAGATGGTTAGCCACTTTGACCCATTTTAAGAATGACTTACACTACTTGGAGCGTAACTATGAACCTAAGAGGAAGTCTGTGAAGCCACCTAAACTTACGCCTCACCACACATTAACCGAGGTCGACCAACTTCGCTACCTAAACGCCCAACTCCCTTTCTCTTACCCAAAGTATGAAGGAGACTTTGACTCTTCTGGTGATGAATCCATCCCACCACTTGGAAGACGTAAGAACTATCCTTCTCCCTCCCATTTCTCCAAGTATAAGGTTCCCATGTCACTTAGGCACCCAAAACCTCGAGCCAAAGCCCGAATTCCAAGAAGGCCTAGAACTCATGACTTTTCATCATCTTCAAGTTCCAACTCTTCACCTTCTCCACAACCCAACAACCCTAAAACCCGAGGAATCCCAAATCCAAAATCAGGCCAAACTCCAAATTATAGTGATTATGTGCCAACCTATTTGAAGGAACCCAATGGTAATAAGAAGGCTAACAGCGAAGACCCAGAGTTCGATCCAGTGGAAGAAAAGGGTTCAAATAAATGATCTATGTTATGATTTGTTTTATGCACAATAAAATGTACTTCGAATATTAATTAATAATAATAAATTATTTGCTTGATTTCTTCTATGTTTACATGTACGAATAAATTTTAATATTTTTTTTCTTCTTTCTCTTAAATGTGAATCTCAGGAAAAATATGTCCTTAAAGTTAAAGAATAAGAAAACTGGTTCCAATATGGGTAAGGTCCTTAAGAAACTAACCCATCTTGTTGAAACATTACCTAAGTAGCAAATCAAGGGAAGGGTTCAGGAAATGGGGACACCTTTGGTGAAGTCTTTAAGGGAGTAGCTGCAGCCAAACCACCCTTTTTCTTAGGAAAAGAGGACCCAGCTAGCCTTGAAAACTAGATCCGAGAATTCGGTAAGTTGTTTGGTGCAATCAACTGTCCAGACAATATGAAAGTTAGTAATGCTGTCTACTACCTAAAAGAAGAAGCTGACTTATGGTGGACAGAAAAGAAAGAGGAATTAATGAAAAACCCTGATTTTGGCTGGGAGGAATTTAAGATAGCTTTGAGGAAAAAGTTTTATCCTGACCATTTGAGAAAACAGAAGTGTATAGAGTTCACTAACTTAAGGATGGGGACTATGACCGTGAGTGAGTATTATTCTAAGTTCATAGAAATGATGAGGTTTGCACCGGAAGTAGTACCAACGGAGGCTATCAAGGCCCAAAGGTTCGAACAAGGGTTAACCTGGAATCTACAAGGAAAATTGGGTGGGGAAACCTTTGAGAGTCTAGATGAGGTGTATGGCCGAGCTGCCCATTTGCATGGGATCAAAGGAAGGGAACTAGGGAGCATGTCTGGGGAGAAAAGGAAGTCCAACGATCAACCCCAAGGGAGTGATAAGAGGCCCAAGAACCATGCAAGCTTTGGGAATGGGAACCATGGAGACAAGAGGGACTTTAAAGGAAATTTTAAGAGAAACCCAAATTGGAGTGATGAGAATAAAGAAAACAAGGATAAAACTAGGAGAATCTACTTCTGTAAAAGATGTGAGAAGGATCACCCGGGGAAGGATTATGCAGGTAATAAGGTGACATGTCAATACTATCAAAAATTGGGACACCGGGAATACGAGTGTTTTAAGAAGGAAGCAGACTTGAAGAATGGGAAGGTTCAGGATGGACGAAATCCCCCACAACCTAGTGGACCTGCCCAGAACACTGGAATCAGTAATGTTGGAAATACCTCTAAGGGCCGGATTTTCGTAATGAATAGCCGTGAAGCTGAGACTTCCAATAATGTGGTAATTGGCATCTTTCTTATACGTTCTTTATCTGTGAAAGTTTTATTTGATTCGGGTGCATCGCACTCTTTTATTTCTAAGACAGTGATAGAAAGTCTCTAGTTAGAAAGTCCAGAGTTAGTCTCCTTGGATGTAGCTATTCCAACAGGGGAAGTTAGGGAGTGTTCTAGACTTTTTAGGAATGTACCCCTAACTATTTCAGAATTAGAGTTTCCCTCGGACCTAATTGAATTCGATCTCAAAGATCTTGATGTGATAGTGGGAATGGACTGGTTGGGGAAGTACAAGGCCCAGATAGATTGTGCAGCATAGAAAGTCACGCTTTATGGCCCAGCAAAAACAAGAGTGACTTATAGGAAGGAGGAAAAAAGTCAAGGGATTAGAATTATTTCGGCTTTACAACTTCAGAAATGTCTCAAGAAGGGGTATCCATTATTTATGTGTAGCCTCCAAGAGATAAGGGATGAAGGGGAAAAGAGTGATAGAAAAATACCTGTTGTGGAAGAATTTCCCAATATATTTCCAGATGAAATACCAGGCATGCCACCGGAAAGAGATGTAGAATTCACGATTGACTTAGTCCCTAGAATTGGACCTATTTCCAAGGCCCCATATAGGATGGCCCCAGCTGAGATGAAAGAGTTAAAGGCCCAATTGGAGGATTTGCTTGAAAAAGGATACATTAGACCTAGTTCCTCACCCTGGGAAGCTCCAGTACTGTTTGTGAAGAAAAAGGATGGGAGTTTAAGGTTATGTATTGATTACCGTGAGTTGAATAACGTCACCGTGAAGAACAAATAACCACTGCCCCGGATCGATGATTTGTTTGACCAGTTAAAGAGAGTAGGAACATTCTTGAAAATAGATTTGAGATCGGTTATCACCAGTTAAGGATTGCAGAGCAAGATATCCCTAAGACTACTTTCAGGACCCGTTATGGCCATTATGAGTTTACAGTAATGCCGTTTGGGTTGATGCACGCACCGGCAGTGTTCATGGATCTGATGCACCGAATCTTCCGACCCTATCTGGATAAGTTTGTAGTGGTATTTGTTGATGACATTCTAGTTTACTCGAACAGTAGGGAGGACCATGAAGACCATTTGAGGAAAGTGTTACAGTTGTTAAGGGAGCATCCGTTATATGCCAAACTTTCTAAGTGTGAGTTCTGGTTAGAGAAAGTGGCCTTCTTGGGGCATGTGATTTCTAAGGAAGGAGTCTCAGTTGACCTAGCTAAGGTGCAAGCTGTACAGGAGTGGCCAACCCCAAAGAATGTGTCAGAAGTGAGAAGTTTTCTAGGATTGGCCGAGTATTATCGGAGGTTTATAAAGGATTTTTCGAAAATAGCAAGACCTATGACCAACTTGATGAAAAAGGAATGTAAGTTCATTTGGTCTCCTGAGTGTGAGGAAGCATTTCAAACCCTGAAAGAAAAATTGACAACAGCCCCTATGTTAGCATTACCTGACGAGAGTAAGGAATATAAGGTGTATAGTGATGTGTCAAAGTTTGGGTTAGGATGTGTTTTGATGCAAGCTAGGAGAGTAATTGCTTATGCCTCAAGACAACTGAAGACATATGAGCAGAATTATCCCACGCATGACTTGGAACTTGCTGCCATAGTGTTTGCCTTGAAGATTTGGAGGCATTACTTGTATGGAGTGACTTGTAGAATTTTCACTGATCACAAGAGCCTAAAGTATATCTTCACCCAAAAGGAATTAAACATGAGGCAGAGAAGGTGGTTAGAATTTATCAAGGATTATGAACTGCTGATCCAATACCATGAGGGAAAGGCTAATGTAGTGGCAGGCGCCTTAAGTAGGAAGTCAAGACACTCGATATATGCGATGATACTACCAGACCAACTATGTATCGAGTTCCAAAAGATGAATTTGGAAGTAGTAGAGCAAGGAGAAGTTGGTCAAATGTTGAACGCTTTGATTATACGACCATCGATTTTCGAGGAAATTAGGAACAGTCAATCTGAGGATGAAAAAGCGCGAAAATTCTACCACATTCTACCCCCCATAAAAAAAACGAGTTATGTCTCCGTAACTCAACATACCTTAAACAACTCAGGGTACTTCTTTTTCATCTCATCCTCGGCATCCCAAGTTGCTTCCTCATATTCTTGGTTAGACCATAGCACATTAAAATCTTAACTTCCTTGTTGCGTGTACTACGCACTTTACTGTCAAGGATCTTGACAGGTCTCTCCTCATAAGTTAAGCTTTGATCTAACTCAATTGGTTCAGGTTGTAGCACATGTGACTTATCAGGTATATACCTTCTTAACTGAGACACATGGAATATATCATGCACTTTACTTAGTTCCATAGGTAAGGCCAACTTATAAGCTACTTTGCGTATTCTCTGTAATATTTCATATGAACCAATATACTTTGGGCTAAGCTTTCCTTCCTTCCCAAATCTCATGACACCTTTCATTGGTGACACCTTCAACAACACTTTGTCACCAACCGCAAACTCTTCCTCCTTATGCTTCAAATCTGCGTAAAACTTTTGACGATCTTGCGCTGCTTGAATCTTAGCTTGAATCTCTTTTACCTGCTTAACTGTATCCTTGATCATTTGAGGCCCTAAGATCATTATTTTACTTATGTCGTTCCAACATACAGGACTGCGACACTTCCTTCCATATAGGCCTCAAATGGAGCCATGCCAATGTTTGCTTGGTAACTATTGTTATAAGAGAAATCAATTAAGTCCAAGCTATCTTCCCATCCCCCTTGGAAGTCTATGACACAAGCTCTCAACATATCTTCCAAGGTTTAAACAGTTCTCTCAGTTTGCCCATTTGTGGCAGGGTGAAATGCTGTACTCATCTTTAGTGTTGTACCAAAGTTTTCCTGAACACTCTTCCAGATCTTTGAAAGAAACCTAGAATCTTTATCAGACATAATATCCGTTGGAACTCCATGTAACCTCACAACATTCTTGATTTATTCTTTTTCAAGTTGCTCTATCTTCCAGGTCTCCTTCATTGGTATGAACACTGTAGATTTGGTAAGTCTATCCACAACGACCCAAATGGTAGCATTTGCACTCTTTGACTTTGGGAGGCAAGTCACAAAATCCATCGAAATGCAATCCCACTTCCATCCAGGAATTTCTAATGATTGCACGATTCCTTACGATCTCATATGCTCTATCTTCACCTTTTAACAAGTTAGACACTTTTCTATAAATCTCGTAACTTCATTCTTCATTCTAGGCCACCAATACATCTTTTTCAAGTCTTTGTATAGCTTGTCCCCTCCTGTGTGCACTGAGTATGGTGTATTGTGACCTTCTTCCATTAATTTCCTCTTTACTTCCTCACATTTTTGTGGTACACACCATCGACCTTTGTACCTTAGACTCCCATCTTCATAACTTTTGAAATCTGTAGCCTTTCCTTGCTTTATTTTCTCACGAATCCTATCCAACTTAACATCTCCTGCCTTATTTCCCCTTATCTCATCAAATATTGTTGGTTGAATGCTTAGGTTCGCAAGTATACCTGCTGGTACTCCCCATTCTACCACTTCCAGGTTCAATTTCCTCATTTCCTTACATAACTCATCAGCCACTATCAAAGTGTTCAGTTCATGACAGGTCTTACGACTTAGAGCGTCCGCAACTACATTTGCTTTTCCTTCGTGGTATTGTATATTCAAGTCATATTCCGTTGCAAATTCTAACCATCTCCTTTGGCGTGAGTTTATATCTCTTTGGGTGAAAATGTACTTCAAACTTTTATGGTCTGTGTAAATTCTACATTTCATTCCATGCAAGTAATGCCTCCAAATATTTAGTGCAAAAATGATTGCAGCTAATTCTAAGTCATGAGTAGGGTAGTTTACTTCATGAGGTTTCAACTGCCTTGATGCATATGAAAACACCTTCCCATTTTGCACACGCACACATCTTAGACCATTGTTGGATGCATCACTATATACATCATAGATTCCACTATCATCTGGCAGTGTAAGCACTGGTGTTGTAATCAACTTTTGTTTCAAGAGTTGGAAAGCTTCCTCACACTTTTCATCCCACTCAAACTTCTTATCCTTCTTCATTAGAGAGGTCATAGGCTTAGCAATCTTAGAAAAGTCCTTCACAAAACGCTATAATACCCTGCTAAACCTAAGAAACTCCTAATGTTAGACACCGTCTTTGGCGTAGGCCACCCTTTCACTTCCTCAATCTTTGCTGGATCTACTTCTACCCCATCCTAGGACACAAAGTGACCCAGAACTGCTAATTTCTCCAACCAAAATTCACACTTGGAAAACTTCGCATAAAGCTTGTTTTCCCTTAAGGTTTGTAGAATTGCCCTCAAATTCTCTACATGTTCCTCCTTATTCTTTGAATACACTAGTATATCATCTATGAACACCACGAAAAACTTGTCCATAAATGGATGGAACACCCTATTCATTAAGTCCATGAAGATTGCTGGAGCATTTGTCAACCCAAATGGCATTACTGTGAACTCATAATGCCCGTACCTTGTTCTAAATGCAGTCTTACGAATATCTACGTCTGCGATCCTCAACTGATGTTAACTGTTTAGGGTAAAAATTACCCTAGACACGTGGCCCAATGAGGGCCTGACACGTGTCACCCCTATAGCACCATGGGCGTCCAACCAATGGATGCCACGTGGCATTGTACCCTCAATGGGGGAGCAGATCCTCATCTGCTATAAATAGAGGAATTATCCTCATTTATTAGCATTCATAAATACATACACAAAACCCGAGCAATATTAATTGCGGAATCTCTCTGAATCAGGGAGAAATACCTATTTACTATCTGCACGTTTACCCATCCGGAATCATACTAACTTGATCGTCGGAGGCGGAACTCCACCCAACCGGAGTTTCGTGGTTTTGCAGGCACATAAGTCAGGAGCTCATACTCCGTATTGTAACTCTCCCGAGGGACTAAAAACACCCGGAAACATTTGGCGCCGTCTGTGGGGAGAGTAATACTGAGATGGCATCTGATGCTGTACCGAATGCAGAGGGCAACCGGCCTCCGGCTGACCCTGAGGTCCATACAGACCATGAAAGTGGCAGTGGTGATGACTACAATGTCGAAACCTACATGGCCCCAGACGGGTCATTCCGTTCCAGGCGCACCCGTTCTAAGGAGACAAGGGAACGGGGTCACGATAAAGTTGGTCCCAGCAACCTAGGCGGCACGCCTGTGGGACAACCCCATGCGGCGGAGGGTACTGCCCCCGTCACCAGAGACGAACTCATGAATCTCATGACTAGTTTCAAGGGGAAATTAAAGAC